AAACAAGGTCACGATAAAGAACAAATACCCTTTGCCAAGGATCGATGACTTGTTTGATCAACTACGCGGGGCAACCGTGTTCTCTAAGATCGACTTGAGGTCAGGCTACCATCAACTGAAGATCAAGGAGAGTGACATACCCAAAAGTGCATTTCGTACACGGTATGGTCACTATGAGTTCCTAGTAATGTCGTTTGGGCTTACAAACGCACCCGCGGCATTCATGGACCTCATGAACCGAGTATTTCACCAATACTTGGACCAGTTCGTCATAGTGTTCATTGATGACATTTTGATATACTCCATGAATGAAGATGGGCACGAAAAACATCTAAGGCTTGTGCTTGAAACACTGCGGGAGAAGCAACTCTTTGCCAAATTCTCTAAATGTGAATTTTGGCTTGGGGAGATCGGTTTCCTCGGGCATGTGGTATCGGGCTCGGGCATTTCAGTTGATAACTCAAAGATTGAGGCGGTCACTAATTGGGAGAGGCCCAAGAATGTGAAGGAGATAAGGAGTTTCCTCGCTTTAGTGGGGTATTACCGCAAATTTGTGGAGAAGTTCTCGGTGATAGCATCTCCACTCACGAAGCTCACCTAAAAGAAGGCTAAGTTTGTGTGAGATGACAAGTGTGAGAAGGGGTTTCTTGAGTTAAAGAAACGTTTGACCGAAGCACCAGTGTTTGCCTTGCCCGTGCAAGGGTTAGGGTATGATATCTACAGCGATGCTAACATTCAGGGACTGGGATGTGTACTGATGCAATCGGGGAAGGTAATTGCTTATGCTTCTCGGCAGTTGAGAAAGCATGAAGTAAACTACCCCACACATGATCTGGAGCTAGGTGTTGTGGTGTTTGTATTGAATATTTGGAGGCACTACCTCTACGGAGAGTTGTGTCACATTTACACCGACCACAAGAGCCTGAAGTATGTGTTCACTCAGAAAGAGTTGAACATGAGACAGAGAACATGAATGGAGTTGATCAAGGATTACAACTTGATCATTGACTATCACCTAGGCAAGGCTAATGTAGTAGCCGATGCATTGGGCAGGAAGAGCTCATCATCGGGGGTTTTACTCACATGCTTACGGGCATTGAGGGCACGCGTGGAGGTATCCACGGATGGGGCGCTATTGGCCAGATTTGAGGTGAGACCCACCTTATTAGATGAAATCAGAACATGTCAAGGCAATGACGAGGAATTTCAGAAAATCCGGGAACGGATGCTTGGGGGGCCCGTCGAGGGTTTCCGTGAGAGAGAAGATGGACTTCTACTATTCAAGGAACGAGTGTGTGTACCATCGGATGAGGAGCTCCGAAAATCTATCCTTGAGGAGGCTCACTCATCTGCGTAGGCCATGCACCCGGGCGGTACAAAGATGTACCGGGACTTGAAAGAAAGTTACTGGTGGTCGGGGATGAAGAGAGAGATTGCAGAATACGTGAGCCGCGACCTTACCTGTCAACAGGTTAAGGCAGAGCACCAACACCCAGCAGGGTTACTACAACCACTTACCATTCCAGAATGGAAGTGGGAGCATGTTACCATGGACTTCGTGGTGGGTCTGCCACGGATGGTTAGGAACTACGACGCAGTATGGGTGGTGGTTGATAGGCTGACCAAGAGTGCTCATTTTCTACCTATTAACACTACCTATACGCTCGAGCGATTAGCCAAATTATACACAGATGAGATTGTGAGGCTGCATGGGGTTCCGGTTACTATAGTATCGGATAGAGACCCGCGGTTCACATCACGGTTTTGGCCTAAGTTCCAGGAATCCATGGGTATGAAATTGAGGTTTAGCACCGCTTTTCATCCTCAAATGGATGGGCAATCTGAACGGGTGATTCAGATTTTGGAGGACATGTTGAGGGCATGTGCCTTGGAGTTCTAAGGAAGCTGGGACAATCAGTTGGCCTTAGTGGAATTCGCCTATAACAACAGTAATCAGGCGAGTATAGGCATGCCTCCATACGAAGCATTGTATGGGAGAAAATGTGTTGGGACGAGGTCGGCGAGGCTAAGCTCGAGGGCACCGAGCTAGTCGAGATCACTAAAGAGAAGATAAAAGTCATACAGGATAGGCTCAAGGCTGCCCAAGACCGGCAGAAGAGCTATGCTGATAAATGTCGGAGGACGTTGGAGTTTGAGGTCGGTGACGAGGTATTTCTGAGGGTATCACCTTGGAAAGGCATCATCAGGTTCCTCAGTCGGGGTAAGCTTAACCCACGTTACATAGGTCCGTTCAAAATCCTTGAAAGGATCGGGGTCGTAGCCTACCGACTTCAGTTGACTCCAGAGTTAGAGAAGATTCACAATGTGTTTCATGTTTCTATGCTCAAGAAGTATATGCGGGATCCGTCACATATTCTTGACAAACCACCGGTGGAAATCCGAGAAGACCTACATTATACGGTGCAGCCGGTAAAGATCATAGATCGACAGGTGAAGAAGCTAAGGAGCAAAGAGGTACCGATGGTAAAAGTACTTTGGAAGAGTGATCGTGTCGAGGAGCAAACTTGGGAAATGGAGACCCTAATGAGGGAACAATATCCGTTTCTGTTTGACTAGACGCGTGGATTTTGGGGACGAAATCCCAAATAAGGGGGGTAGAACTTGTAACACCCCCCTGAGTATTTGTACTGTACCAAACTATGTATTGAACCCTGAGAAATGAATAAAAGCATTTTTACGTAATTGTAAATTTTTATCATTTCTTTTACATGAATAGTAAAATTCACGTGGGGCCCACACTGGAAGTGGGGCCCACACTGGAAGTGGGGCCGCCCGATATTATCGGGACCACATATTATATTAATCTTGGACTAGATAATATGTATATGGTGGTGGATATCCTAATTGGGCCATGGCAATGGCATAGGATTGATCGGTTGGTCAAATGGGGCCAAATTATCGGTATCGGCAATTTATCAGATAACAGCCCAAAAAGGGATTTCGGAGACTTCTAAATTAAAGTTGGGGAATGAATATTGATTCTAAGGTCCAACGAGGATTGGTAACAAGTGTATATTTTATTTGACCCGATAAAATAAAATATATTAAAAACAGTCCGGAAAATACAACTTTCGGGGCCGATTGTACACTCCGGGACACAAAGAGTTGACCTCCCATATAAGTGGGGGCCAACCCACGAGAATACCTCGTCAAAGTGAGCTGGGAGGCGTGAAAAATGGAGGTGAGGTGTGAGGGAGTTGGTTTGAATTGATTGGAATCATACAAAACATGGGGGGGCCTCCTTCCCATCACTCATTGCTCAAATGAGCCAAAAAGGGTATTCCTACCCATCCCCCTCCTACTAACTTGGACAAGACGAAGTAAAGGAAGAAAGGAAGCTCTGAAACACCATTCTTCGCCGGAAAATAACCTTTTTGGTGGTTCTAAGTCCAAGAATGCGCTTAGAAGCCAAAGTAACCGGTTCGCCGGAAAATAACCTTTTTGAGGTTATTTGTTTTACTATGGGTTTTATGATGATAAAACCTTGTTAGTAACTTCTCTAAGGTATTCAAGGAACTTTCACGGAGTTGAAAGGGTTGCCGGAGTTGTCGCCGAAGTTCGTTGAAGTTCGCCGGAGTTTCGCCGGAGCTAAATCGGGAAGGCTAGAACTTCATAAGCTTCATTAAGGTGAGAAGACGGCTTTATGCTTTATAACTTTTGCGTGAGGCATGATATTACCTAAATTAATCAAGGATATGGTTTGTGGAATGATTAAAGATAACCAAGTGTTTGCTTATGCCATGATTATACATAAAGCATAGTTGAAAAGCATGTTATGTAGGTTTGGTGATTAAAAATGTGATAACTTATTATGTGTGATGTTCCAGGGATCCAAAATGATATTTTTGGATCAAGGATGTCAAGAAGTATATGTGTATAAAATTTCACGTTAATCGGACTCCGTTTGGGTTGTCAAACGGGCGTTGACCGCCAAGTCAACTGCCATACCCGACCGGGTATTGACACATACCCGACCGGGTATTGACACATACCCGACCGGGTATTTGTTGAAAAATTGCCCAAGGGGCTACTGCCTCCTATACCCGATCGAGTATGGGTAGATACGCGATCGAGTATACATTGAAAATTAGCTTTGTGGGCTACTGTCTCCTGTACTCGACCGAGTATGGGTAGATACTCGATCGAGTATTGGGTTATGCTCAAAACGGGCAGTTTTGAGCGGGTTAATGTGGGCCGTTCAGGTGGGACCCGCCCACGTTGGTTCCTAAGGATGGTTATATGACTATAGGGCAAGATATTGTCCATAGTTAAAGGAATGAAAGGTTAGCCATATCCAGGTTAGGGTTTGGTAAGGATTAAGTTTGGGGTTGAGTATCCCCGAGACATCAAATGATCCTGAAACTCGGTTGGGGTTGAGCATCCCCGGGACTATAAATGATCCTGAAACTCGGTTGGGGTTGAGCATCCCTGGGACTATAAATGATCCTGAAACTTGGTTGGGGTTGAGCATCCCCGGGACTATAAATGATCCTGAAACTCGGTTGGAGTTGAGCATCCACGAGACTATAAATGATCCTGAAACTCGGTTGGGGTTGAGTATCCCCGGGACTGCAAATGATCCTGAAACTCAGTTGGGGTTGAGTATCCCCGGGACGGTAAATGATCCTGAAACTCGGTTGGGGTTGAGTATCCCCGGGATGCTAAATGCTCCCAAAACTCAGTAGGATATTATGAATGTAGAATGTAGCTTGTGAGCTAGGCATTCGAGAAAGGAGTGAGAAAGGTCAGGTAAGAACTTTATCTCTAAAAGACTCTTTGAATGAAATGACCTACGGGTCGAGTATTTTACACATATATATACAGTATGTATGATCGGATGGATGAGTCACATATATATATATGTATCACCCTATTTTTGGGTCTCGTGTCTGAAACATTAGTTATTCTTCATGTAGCCTGCTTGTCACTAGTACTTCTATGGAGTACTAACCCCTCCGAGGGGCCCTCACATTTTTCAGGTTGAGGCTAGAGTCCTACTACCTGCACCTTTGCCTAGGGTGATTGATCAAGAAGGAAGACGTGGTTCGTGCTTCCATTCTCATTTCAAATTTATAAACTGCTCATGGATTTTCGAACAATGTCTTCTTTAAAATAGTTGGGGGTCTGGGTGCCCGTGTTTGCCACGTGTGGCTAAGTATTAAACATATTATTATTTCCACATTTGTTGATTATGATATTGATGTTGATTGTATGTGTTTACTAATCGGTTTGGCAATAGAATCAATCGGACGCCTTGTACAATTCAATAGAGATGAACTGTTGTTGTTCTTATCGGGTTGTACGACGGTTGTCTACGTGGCCTGGATGCGGTCTGGGGCGTGACAACATTTCTGATCTTTAGAGAAGTAAGAAACAACTTTTATTGATAAATGGCTCGAGGCCGAGTGATGTACATTCCACGTTCGAGGGTGGGGAGGTGAGGGCTTTGCCGGTTGCACCGCCCTCGGATTATTGATAGAATTTCACCAAGTGATGTACATTCCACGTTCGTGGTACATTAAACCCATTTGGGTGCTTTAGTTTGTAGGTGTCGGGCTTGACTACGGCACTGATGATGTAGGGGCCCTCGTACTTGAGTGCCAATTTGCCACCCTCTTTCGGCTTTCTCGCCTCTCTTCGGCGAAGGACATAGTCCGCCACCTGAAATTCCCGAGAACGTACCTTGGCGTCATAGTATGATTTTACTTGACGCCGGTAGTTCTCTGCCCGGATGAAGGCCTGCTCTCGTCTTTCTTTGATCAGGTGGAGGTCGATCTTCATGTTTTCTTCATTGGCCTCAGGCTCATAGTGCTCCACCCGCCGGCTAGGTATGGTGACCTCTGTGGGGGTCTTTGCTTCGAAACCGTAGCAAAGGGCAAAGGGTGTCTCGCCCGTTGCCCTCCTCGGCGTAGTACGGTAGCACCATAGGATATTGGGGAGCTCATCGGCCCAACTGCCCCCTGCGTCCTGGAGCTTCTTATTCAGGCCCTCCAGGATGGTTCTGTTGGCATTCTCGACCTGCCCGTTGCCTTGAGGATAGGCAACGGAGGAGAAACGATGTTTGATTCCCACTCCTAGAGGAGCTCTTAAAAGGGCGCGACCTCGAACTGGGTACCGTTATCGACTATGATCTCATGAGGGACGCCAAAGCGGGTGAGGATGTTTTTGTGGACGAATTTCTGACACGTGTCCCTTGTGATGCTGGCCAAAGGTTCCGCCTCAACCCATTTGGTGAAGTAGTCTACGGCGACGATGATGTATCGGTTGTTGCCTGCGGCTCTGGGCAGGGGGCCGACCAAGTTAATACCGCACCTTGAGAATGGGATCGTTGTGATGACCGGGGCGTAGTCGACGGCTGGCCGACCAGGGGCTTTTTGAAGGACCTGGCATGCGGTACACTTTCTTGCAAGATTGGCACAATCCCGCGCCATTGTTGGCCAGAAATAGCCCTGGACGACGAGACGTCGGGACATGCTGAAAGGGCCCTGGTGAGAGGAGCAGACGCCAGAGTGGACTTCCTCCATAGCCACTTCGGCCTCATCTGGGTGTAGACATCGGAGGAGAGTGCCGTTGTAAGATCTTTTATAAATTTTCCCATCCTCGATGGTGTAGCTCGGGGCCCTAAGTTTGGCTAGCTTGGCTCTCTCCTCGTCTTGGAGCAATTCTCCCGAGGTGATGAAAGTCATGATGTCAGTAATCCAGTCCTCCGGTCGCTGTTGGATGCACGTGACCGGGATGGCATGGATGTTGGACATGCTCAGCTCTTCGACCTCTGCTATCTTGGAGATGTGCTCTGGAGTGTCTGAGCTGAGCTTGGAGAGGATGTCGGCCTCAGCATTCTCCGCCCTTGGGATCTGGGTGATCTCATGGGTTTCGAATGCCTTGAGCAACTCCTCGGCCGCCTGTTTGTATTGCCTCATCCTCCCTTCTTTAGCCTCGTATGAGCCCTCGATCTGGCCCACCACTAGCTTGGAGTCGCATCTGGTTTTGATGTGTTGTGCTTTGAGGCCGGCGGCAAGTCTAAGGCCACTGAGGAGGGCCTCATACTCGGCTTCATTGTTGGATACTCTGAAGTTGAAGCGGATGGCGTAGTAGGCTCTGAACCCTTCAGGGGAAATGAGGCCGCCGCCGCCACCACAAGCTTTGGTGGCCGATGAACCGTCAGTAAAGAGGGTCCATGCTTCGTCTGGCTCTGGCCCTGGTGTGGTAGCGGCCGTCTCCCTGGTTGTGCATTCGGTGACGAAGTCGGCCAAGGCCTGTCCCTTGATGGATGGCCTTGGCTTAATCTCTATCTGAAATTGGCTGAGGAAGATCGCCCATTTCACCATCCGTGAGGAACTGGTGGGGCTCCGCATGAGCGCACCGAGGGGCTGCTGAGTTAAGACGTGGACGGCGTGGGCCTGGAAGTAGTGCCCTAGTTTCTTCACCGTATGGACGATGGCTACTACCGTCTTCTCAATGGGAGAGTACCTGAGTTCGGCCTCCCACAACGTCTTGCTTATGTAGAAGATCGCCTTCTGTGTCCCCTCGTCCTCGCGGATGAGCACGGAGCTGACGGCCGATGTGCTCACCCACAAGTACGGGAAGAGGGTTTCGCCGGCTTTAGGTTTGGAAAGAACTGGGGGGATGATAAGTACCGCTTCAGTTCCTCAAATGCTTGCTGGCACTCTGTCGTCCATCTGAAGCCGGTTGCCTTGCGCATGATCTGGAAGAAAGGGAGAGACCTTTCATCCGATTTTGAGAGAAAACGGTTCAGGGCCGCGAGGCGTCCCGTCAGCCGTTGTACCTCCTTCACATTTCGTGGTGGCTCCATGTTGACAATGGCCTGTATCTTCTACGGATTGATCTCAATGCCCCTTCGGCTGACCATGTAGCCGAGGAACTTGCCCCCTTGGACGCCGAAGGTGCATTTCTTTGGGTTCAAGCAGAGCTAGAACTTCTCCATGATTTCGAAAATTTCCCGGAGGTCGTCAGCATGAGTGGTAGATTGCTTGCTCTTGACGATCATGTCATCGACGTACGCCTCCATTGTCCGGCCGAGGACTGTCCTGAAGACTTTGACTACCATTCTGGTGTATGTGGCGCCTGGGTTTTTGAGCCCAAAGGCCATGACGAGGTAGCAGAAAATTCCCTCCGGGGTCATGAAGGCCGTCTTCTCGGCGTCATCTTCATGCATGAATATCTGGTGGTACCCCCTGAAGGCATCAAGGAATGACATCAACTCGCACCCCGCCGTCTCGTCCACTAGTTGATCAATGTTGGGGAGAGGGAACGGGTCCATGGGGCACGCCTTGTTCAGGTTAGTGTAATCAACGCACATTCTGAACGTCGGTGGCTTCTGTACGAGGACGACGTTGGCCAACCAGGTGGGGTACTTCACCTCCTGAATGTGGTTTATGGAGAGGAGCATGGTAACTTCCCCCTTGACGAAGTCACGTCTGTCAGCCGAGAGGTAGCGCCACTTTTGCTTGATCGGCGTGGAGGCGGGATCGACTGACAACCGGTGAGTGATCACTTTTCGGCTGATGCCAGGCATGTCGTCCGCCCCCACCCAAAAATGATGGCATATGACCGCAGGACGCTGAGGATGCCTTCGCGATGATCCTGTGGGAGTTGTTTCCCGATTTTCAGGACTCGATGACCGCAGGACGCTCCGGCCGGGAGATATCCAGGGGGACCTCTTCGACCTCTTTGGCTGGTTCAGCGTGCGGCCTTTCCTCGTCCTTGGAGACCGCGGCAGTGATGGTGTCAATTCTCTGCCCGGCACTGGCTGCCGGCTTGGTCAGTTTCAGGTAGCACGCCCGGGCTATCTTCTGGTTCCCTCGGGCGTAGCCGATACCGCCGCTAGTGGGGAACTTCAGGCATAGATGTTTCATGGAGATGATGGCTTCCAAATCCTCTAGTGCTGGCCGCCCCCATATCAAGTTGTGGGCGCACGCGAGGTTGACCACCATGAATTCCATGTCGATCTTGATGCGATGGGAGCCGTCGCCGAGCTCCACGGGGAGGACTATCGTGCCCTCGGTGTCAATCAAGTTCCCGGTGAAGCCGGACAACGGTGTTCGTATCGGCTTGAGCAGCGCTCTGTCCAACTTCAGCTGCCTGAATGTGTCAAGGTACATGACATTGACGGAGCTCCCCGTGTCGATGTAGGTGCGGTGGATGATAGAGTCACCTATTTCGCACCGGATGACGAGGGCTTCCCTGTATGATGCGGGCCCCGGAGGCAGATCCTTGTCGGTGAAGGTGATCGCCTCCGCCCGTTGTTTCTTCGGCTGGGGGGGAGCGTGGGACACCTCCCCGGTGTAAAGGGATTGGGCCCATTTTTCCCTTCGAAGTCTTCGTCGTCATCGCTGAGCCTACTGATCTCCCGCTTCTTCGTAGAGGGTTCACCCCCATGTTTGCCGGTGTTTACCCACGTATTTTTGCGCGGGCCACCTTTCACAAACTGGGAAAGTTCCCCCTGACGAATCAGCTTCTCGATGTGCCTCTTCAGAGTGACACAATCGTCTGTGTTGTGGGAGGTGTTCCGGTGATAACGGCAGTAGGTGCCACCCTGATGGACGACATAGATCTCCTTTGCCGACCGAGGATCTCGCTCAATGAGGTCGTGCACCTCGGCGTAATCGAGGATGGTGCTGACCGAATGGGTAAGTGGGGTCTTCGGCCTCTCCATCCTCGGCCGCCATATGCGGTCTTTGTTCTTTCCGCTAGATCCATGGCGGCCTTGTCCTCCCTGACCTCGGTCCCCGGACGAGGGTGTGCCCGCGGTTGGAACGACGCTTGTCTTCTTGGAGGGGTGCCCCCGTCCTTCTTATGGCTGTGCAGCTCGTCGACGTCCTCGTACAAGTTTCCTCGCTAAAGCGCCTTCAGGTAGGACCTCGGAGGGTCAGTGATGAGGCTCCTTGCATATGGGGTGCTGCGGAGGGCACCCTGAAAGAGTACGAGGAGGGTGCGCTCATCGGCCCCCTCGACCTCCTCAGTCTCCCTCGTCCACCGGTCGATGAACGACCGGAGTGATTCGTCATGCTGCTGCTTGACAGAGAGAAGATGGGTAAAGTATTTCTTCGCGCGCTTCCTTCCGGCAAAGTGAGTGAGGAAGCGCTCGGCAAGGTTTTGCCACAAGTCTATGCTCCCCTCGGGGAGTGCGTTGAACCACTCATATGCCGGCCCTTCGAGAGTGGAAAGGAACCAACGGCAGAGGTATTCATCTGACGGGTTCACCATCAGCATGTTGATCTGGTAGCGGCTGAAGTGCTCCTGGGGGTCAGAGTGGCCATCATAGGGCTTGAAGGCGTTTCCCCAGTACTTCTCGAGGATAGGGGCCGAGAGTACCCTAGCGGTGAAGGGGGTCCTCGTCCTGACCTGGATGATGGGGTCCCCTCGTCCTTCGGCCAACTCCCTTTCAAGGATAGTGACCTTATTCAGAAGGGCGTTGAAGCCGGGATCTCTGGATGAGTTGCCGGTGGGCGTGGCGGCCAGATGTTTGGCCTCCATCTAGGCGAGCCTCCGCTCGAGTTGGGCGATCACCTTGTCCCTGGGGTCCTTGGCGGCCATGGTGGCGCTCTGAGTTTGCAAACTGACTGCATGAGTCGTGTTGATTTGGTGACGGGCATCATCCTCATGCAGTTTCCCCTTGCCTTTGTCCAGGTGGGGCCGATCCGCTGTCCGGGATAGCGATCCCAAGCTTTCCCTGGGTGAGCCAGGTTCACGTTGCCCAATCCGCCCGCCATCCTCTCTGAAGCAGGCCGACAGCACGTGTCACCTAGCCTGTTAAAGGCTAAGGCTTTTCCACGCGCTGGGGTCGGTCCAGCTCGAAGCGGGGAAGCAGGGTGGGAGTGGGACGACATCGTGTCCTGGGGCACCACCCCCTCATCGTTGCCTAGCCTGACGGCCAATGGTTGGGGTTGAGGAGGCGGCGTCGTGTTCTCCCCCGTCCTTGGCATGAGTGTGCTGAGGACGGTGGGGTTCTGGGCCAAGCTGGCAATGATGGCCGAGAGCGCGGCCTGGAGCTGAGGGTCAACGGTGGGAGAGGCCGGTTGCGCTGAGGCGCTGTCACCTTTCTCCGCACGCTTCTTGTCCAAGCCGATGCAGGCGTCAGGGGCGCCGCCGTTGAGCTTGTTGCGTAGGTCTCATGCGAGGTCGATGGCTTCCTGGAAGACATCCCCCCGGCGGCCTTGTCGACCATGGCGTCCTCCTCGTGCTCTTGGTTCTCCTGTGCCTCAGGGATGGCCTTGCTGAGGAGGTTGCGGTTTGACTTAGTCCTTTCCATTGTTGGTTAGCTATGCTTGGTAGCGACGAAGGAGGCTAACCTGATTGTTTTGGCTCTCAACGAGAGCACCAAATGATAGACTATAAGTCTAGAGAGAAGTGAGAGCTAGAGAGAGTAGTATATTTGTTTTGTATAAATGAATTCTGAACCCCTACAACTACTCCTAGAGGGAGTATTTATAGGAAAAATTAGGGCTGGGCTCCCAAGTCTTGGGCTTGGGAGGCCTATTTACAATAGGGCCACTAATTGGCCGGATACAAAGTACATAGAAAAGATTAAGCATAAAGCCCTATTCTGGAGGCCATCTGTGGCCGATGAGGGCACGGCCGACGAAAGTGTGGCCGACGAAGACCCGACCGACGAGGTCACCCGGCTCTTCCTAGCTTCTGGATCACTTTCTGAGTAGACTTCTTTCTGGCCGATGAGGGTCATCTGGCCGACGAGGGTCCCACCAGGTGGTCGTGGTACCTTCCGTTCTCCTGAGTATGTGGGCCCTGGGATCCTGGCCCATATACTTCATCAATGGCAGATCTAAAAATTTGTTTTAAAGACAGATTTGAAGGTAATCTTCAAAGTCAAATCTTCCAATTTAATGGCATAATTTTGGCGGTGGGGTGTGATGGCGGCGGCAGTGCTCGGAGATGAAGTGGTGGCCCCGGATTCAACATAGGCAGCAACGACGATGATAGCATGGCGGCGACAGAGGCGGATGGTGACGACGGTTGGGCGGTGATAAATGGCGATGATGCACGGACAGAGATGCAACAGCACCGGCGAGGGCGGCGATAGGCGACGCCGGCAAGGACATGGGCTGGCGGTGCCGGCAAGTGTGGCAGTAGTCGGTGCCGGTGAGGGCAGCAGGGGCAGCTCCGGCTTCGACGGTGGTAGTGCTACTGTCGGCAGTTAACTGCTTACGATTTCAACTGTTTTTTAATTTGCTTTTTATAAATTAAAAAAAGTAAAGCAGGGTTATGTTTGCCCATCTGTGTGGAATTTAGTCCCATGAAACTTCACTTCCGTAAGCAGTCCTATATGTGCAATAAACTTTGTCATTAGTCCTATTTAAGTCATTAAATCTATTCTATATCACGCATATTTACTACTCCGGTATTTTTTTAAGAAAATAGTGTATCTTAAAATGACTACATTCTATTGTAGTTATAACAATTCCATTTCACTTTTTTTTATCGTCAACTAGCCTTCTTTCATATCATAAGTTTCAGGATCATTACATCTATCAAAGGGAAAACAAAACTGACACCAACTAAAATCCAACAACTATGACCGTAAACCCTATGATCAGACTTAGAGACGGTCACCCCTGAAAGAGCATTGCGAATCATTAACCATGTAGCGGGCTTGACACAACCATCCATGTTCCCATACATCCAAACATACTCATTGACATAAAAAAAATGCTGAATTCCCAAACAAACTGACTAACCTAACAACATAGACGATAACAAGAAGCCAAATGACAGAATAAAAATAACTAATAGGAAAACTTCCACGGAGTCTAGCACCTCGTACAACCCATGGCAGTGGTTCAGGTCTTCAGGAGGAGGCCGTAACCTTGGTACCACTCTAATTGATCATTCATTGTCAATCGTCATCTGGCCTGCTCGAAATCCGTGCACCTCTCATCGTCCCGCGCTCGTGGCAAATCCACCGCTAGCGGTTATCTTCATCGATGTCATGCGCTTGCTACCCTGTTCACGAAGAAATCGATCACCGAACTCTGGCTTCGATGTCATCCAGCTTGGGCAAGGATTCTTGTCAATCTGCCTCAAATCCAATCCCAATGTCGGACACAAGTGAAGGGGATTCACCGGCCGGAAGAACCAAACCTTAGATCTGCTAAGGAAAAACCAAATCCTAGACCTGCTAGGGAGAGACGGTGGTAATTCCATTTCACTTTTCTTTCTATAAATAATAATAATATGTAGTGTTATCACTTAAAGTTTGTAAAGGGATCATCATGAACAAAGGTCATAAATTGTTGTTGTTGTTGTTTTTATTGTTGTTGTTGTTGTTGTTATAATTATTAATATATAGTCTATACCAGGATACCGCTAGTGGTATCTAGAGAGAAGTCAGAGCAATAAGTAAGAGAGAGGAAGTGTTAGTAGCAATAAAAATATTCAATTGGTCGTTACAACCGCCCAAAGGGCGCTATTTATACTAGTCATAAATGCTAGGTGCATTAAATGCTCGCACACGTGCAAGTTTGTCTATGGAGGACAACCCCCAGGCTAGGGATGGACCCAGGCTGGGCCCGGGCGGGCTTTTTTTGTAGAATCATGGGCCCAGAACCGGCCCAGGGTGATACCGGGTCCGGTCCGGGTCAGGCCTACCCGGTCGGGTAGTGGGCCGGTTCGGGCCGGGCCCTGGCTATTTATTTTTTTGTTTAAATACTAAATTAAGATTACTTGGACGTAAAAAATTTAAAATATATTTGATGGAGTATATGGGCCTGGACCCCAAGACCCACATACTCAGAAGAATAAGAGGCACAGTTGTCACCCAGTGGGGCCTCCGTCGGCCAGATGGCCTTCCACCGGCCAGAAAGATATCAACTCAGAACATGGTCCGAAAGCCAGGAGAACCGGGTATCCCCGTCGGTCGAGGCTCCATCGGCCATGGCCGCATCGGCCATGGCCGCGCCGGCCACAAAAGGCTCCCAGAACCGAATTTTGTACTTAGTCATTTCTACATACCTTGTACTCAGTCCAATAGTGGCCCAATTGTAAATGGGCCTCCCAAGCCCAAGACTTGGGAGCCCAGCCCTAATTTCCTCTATAACTACTCCCCTTGGGAGTAGTTGTAGGGGGTTCACAAATCATTAATACAAAGCATTTACTGCACTTCTCTCTAGCTCTCACTTCTCTCTAGGAGTTAATACTCCATCATTTGGTGCTTTCATTGAAAGCTAGAACAATCAAGTTAGCCTCCTTCGTCGCTACCAAGCACAGCTAACTGATAATGGGAAGAACTAAGTCTAACTGCAACCTCCTCGGCAAGGCCATCCCTGAGGCCCAAGAGAACCGGGAGCACGAGGAGGACGCTACGGCCGACAAGGCACCCGGTGAGGATGTCTTCTAGGAAGCCATCGGCCTCACAACTGACCTGCGCAACAAGCTCAACGGCGGCGGCCCAGATGCCCGCATCAGCTTGGACAAGAAGCGCGCAGAAAAGGGCGACAACGTCTCGGGGCAACCGGCTTCTCCTGCCGTTGACCCTCAGCTTCAAGCTGTGCTCTCGGCCATCATGGCCAGCTTGGCCCAAAACCCCACTTTCCTCAGTGCACTCATGCCAAGGACGGGGGAGAACATGACCCCGCCTCCTCAACCCCAGCCGTTGGCCGTCAAGCTAGGCAATGACGAAGGGGTGGTACCCTAGGACACGACGTCATCCCACTCCCACCCTGCTTCCCCGCTTCGAGTTAGACTGACCCCAACGCGTGGAAAAGCCTCAACCTTTAACAGGCTATGTGACACGTGCCGTCGGCCTGCTTCGGAGAGGATGGCAGGGCGGATTGGTCAGCGTGAGCCTGGCTCACCCAGGGAAAGCTTGGGGTCAGTATCCCGGACAGCGGATCGGCCCCGCCTGGACAAAGGAAAGGGAAAGCTGTATGAGGGTGATGCACGTCACCAGATCAACACGGCTCACGCAGCCCGCTTGCAGACACAGGGAGCCACCTTGGCGGCCAAGGACCCCAGGGACGAGGTGATCACCCAACTCGAGCGAAGGCTCGCTCAGATGGAGGCCAAACAGCTGGCCGCCACGCCCACCGGCAACTCATCCGGGGATCCCAGCTTCAACGCCCTTCTGCACAAGGTCAGCGTCCTCGAGAGGGAGTTGGCCGAAGGACGAGGAGACCCCATCGTCCAAATCAGGACAAAGACTCCTTTCACTGCCAGGGTACTCTCGACCCCTTTCCCCGAGAAGTACAGGGGAAACGCCATCAAGCCCTATGATGGCCGCTCTGACCCCCAGGAGCACTTTAGCCGTTACCAGAATAACATGTTGATGGTGAACGTGTCAGATGAATACCTCTGCCATTGATTCCTTTCCACTCTGGAGGGGTCAGCGTATGAGTGGTTCAACGCGCTCCCCGAGGGAAGCATCGACTCATGGCAGGACCTTGCCCAACGCTTCCTCACACACTTTGCCAGGAGGAAGCGCGCGAAGAAATATTTCACTCATCTTCTCTCCGTCAAGCAACAACATGACGAATCGCTTCGGTCATTCATCGACCGATGGACGAGGGAGACCGATGAGATTGAGGGGATCAATGAGCGCACCCTCTTGGTCCTGTTTCAGGGCACCCTCCGCAGCACCCCATATGCGAGGAGTCTCATAACTGACCCTCCAAGGTCTTACATGAAGGCGCTTCAGCGGGGAAACTTGTACGCTGACGCCGACGAGCTCCATAGCCACAAGAAGGACGGAGGGCACCCCTCCAAGAAGACGAATGCTGCGCCAGCTCCAGGCGCACCCTCGGCCGGGGACCGAGGTCAGGGAGGACAAAGCCGCCATGGATCTGGCGGGAAGAACAAAGACCACATATGGCGGCCGAGGATGGAAAGGCCGAAGACCCCACTCACTCACTCGGTCAGCTCCATCCTCGATTATGCCGAGGAACATGATCTCATTGAGCGAGATCATCGGTTGGCGAAGGAGATCTACGCCGTCCATCAGGGCGGCACCTACTGCCGTTACCACCGGAACACCTCCCACAACACAGACGATTGCGTCACGCTGAAGAGAGCCATCGAGAAGTTGATTCGTCAGGGGGAACTCTCCCAGTTTGTTAAAGGTGGCCCGCGCAAAAATATGTGGGTAAACACCGCCAACATGGGGGAGAACCCTCCGCGAAGAAGCGTTAGATCGGCAGACTCAGCGATGACGACGAAGATTTTGAAGAGCCCCCTCCGAAGAAGAACCACATCCACCTCATCGTGGGGGGCAACACTGGGGGGGACTCGGCCACCCAGAGGAAGAAATGGGCCCAATCCCTTTACATTGGGGAGGTGTCCCACGCTCCTCCCCAGCTGAAGAAGTAGCGGACGGAGGCGATCACCTTCACCGACAAGCAATGGACCAAAAAAGAAGCATAATAGTAATCTAAACATTGCTCCAAAGAAGCAAGTCTAAAACGTGGATCAAGAATAAATGCAATACTATATATATGCGGAATATAGGAATAATATTTTAAAAACTTTTGTTTCATGAAGTCACAAAAATAACTAACGTAAGTGGCATCAGCAAATTCACAAAAAGCGTCGATGAGATTAACAGCTTCAACAAAAAAATTGGTTTGCAGCAGGTTTATAAACATGACAAAAAGTTTGAGTTGCATTATAAAATACACCAAAACATTCACAACTTTTTCACAAGTGTCGATGTCGGCCAGGTTTATAATATAGTTAGCATATTCTTTTAAAAAAGAAGGAAAATGGTTTTTAAATTTAATAAGCACCTTAATTAAGTTATAAGTACTATTCCAACGAATAGACAAATCTTTAGGAAAAACACAATATTTGACATGTCTTTCTTTCAAATAAATTCTCCGTTGCATCTTAAGTTAATTACTAGCCTAAATAAGTTTAATCCCCCCTTTACCACCTCCATAGCATCTCTTAACGCCACTAGCCCTTCCTTTACACATAAATTTAAAATATGACATGCACAACGCTGATGAAAAATCTACCCATCAAAGAAGATGAACCACACAATTCGCGCAATCTAGGAATAACAGCAATATTATTAGTAACATTATCAAAACCAATAGCAAACACCTTATTAATCAAATTATACTCAATTAAAATACGCTCAATGAGAATATAAATATTATCACCGGTGTGTCGATCATTAAATTCATGAAAAGCAAGAACACGTTTATGCATACACCAATCATCATCAATATAATGTTCACTCAAACCCAAATAATATAAATGATGATGAGTATCCTCCCATATATCACTACATATACTTACACGTCCATCAAAGTTTGCGAAAAACGTTTGTAATTTTTGCTTTTCCAAAACATATGCCTTATAACTTCTTTTTTAATTGTTTTGCTACTATAGTTTCGAAATTGAGGATTTAAAGAACCTTGATCATATATTCTTTTAAAGCAAGACTTTCAGAAAAAATAAAAGGCAAATTTTCTTCAACAATTAAATGAGACATACCAGTCAAATGTCTTTGATCATCATAGGAGAAATTACCAAAGTGTTGGCCACTTGCAAACCTTGAAATTTGTGTTTGCTTTCCCTTGTCTTTGTCCGATTTTGCATATTCTGCCGGGTGTTTGGCCTTAAGATGCCTTGTGGCGCTCCCGTACCCTCCAGAAATTTCCAAGTTATACTTTTTCTTGCAATGCTTGCAAGTGGCGTACCATATCTCGGTTTCGAGGTCTTTAACTTTTGTAAAATTGGCTTTAAAGACAGATTCAGATTTCTCATCGGCTTGGGAAGAAGTAGCCACTTCCGCTTGCTCTTCCTCATCGTCCGGTGTGCCATGAACCTCGTCCTCGGCCGTTTGCGGATCCCTCTCCTCCGCATCATTATCCTCGAGCTCTTCTTCGTCAATGGTTTGCAGGATGTCTTGTTGATGAAAAAAACTTCCTTGATTTTGTTGCAATAGTTGTTCTAGTTGCTCATCGGACATCGCATCCCCATATCTTTGGTTGTAATCCGCATCAAAATCATCTCGGGTTTGAGATGAAGACCCGGCCCCTCCCTTACCTTTGTGTGACCTTGGATGATTCCTCGCAATCTCCTTTGTTCGGTTGCGGCGGAGGTTACTCATATCTACAGATTCTCTAGCACGTTCCGTCTTAAACATATAACAAATATTAAATTTGAAGTACAATTAAACTAGTGAATTTGAAATACAAATCTACTAATTCGAAATACAATTAAATTCGAACTATGCAACTACAATATAATAAACTTAACTACAATTAAATAATAATGCAATGTAAAAATTCGAACTATTTGTTTTAAAATGTAACAACTTTATTTAACAAGTTTAACAATTAACTAGTTTTATAGGAGAATAATAAATGTAACGATTAACTAGTTTAACAATTAAACAATTAATTTCGAATTAACTAGTTTAACAATTAAACACACAATTATTGTCTAACAATTTTTAATGTAACTATTTCCAATAAACTAACAACTAACAATTAACTACTTTTATAGCAATGAACTAATACTAAAATGATAAGTGAAACAATTAACTAGTTTTATATGAGAATAATAAATGTAACAACTAACTACTATGATAGGAGATTAATAAATGTAACAATTAACTAGTTTAACAATTAAACAATTAATTTCGAATTAACTAGTTTAACGATTAAACAAACAATTATTGTCTAACAATTTTTAATGTAACTATTTCCAATAAACTAACAACTAACAATTAACTACTTTTTTAGCTATGAACTAATACTAAAATGATAAGTGAAACAATTAACTAGTTTTATATTAATAAAGAATGTATGAATGTGTAAACTAAATTAATGGGAGTGTGAGAGTGTATAAGCAATTGGATAAGTAGATATGTATAAATAGATATACTTAATATATATTTATAAGTAGATAATAAGTAGATTAACTAGTAATATAATATATAATATTATGTTTATAGTATATATAATATAAGTATATTACTATAAGATGAGTAATACACTTATATATAATACTTTAATATATATATATGTATATATTAAGTATATGTGATATGTAAATATAAGTAAATAAATTAGAGATAATTATATATGTAATATGTAATATGTAAATATAAGTAAATAAATATAAGTAACAATAATATAATAATTAGATAATAATATAAGTAGATAATAAGTAGATAATAAATTCTATAACTATAATATATGTAGTTATAAATTTGAGAAGATGAAGATGGAGAAGATTAGTAGAGAATAGAGATTAGAGAGTAGGAATATTTGGAGAAGATGTGTAGTAAATTGTATAGAAAAAATGGAGTATTTATAGATGTTTTGTACTCCCACCCCCAACCCACCCCGGGACCCCCTGGAAGGCTCCCAATGGCTATAGAGCCGTTTGGGTTGAATTACAACGGCTCTAAGCCCTGTTTGGGGTTGCGTGAGTATGTGGGCTGGGGGTCCCGGGCCATATACTCCATCAATTATTATTATTATTATTATTATTATTATTATTATTATTATTATTATTATTATTATTATTTGCTTCGGTCCAGGTAGCTTAATTAGCTTAATTTTGTGGTATGTACGCATAAAGTAACTTTTCATACATAATATAATCTAGAGATATTACCCGAAATAGGACTAAAACAGTTTGAAAATTCCAAAATAGGACTGCCATGTTTTTATTCCCAAATTAGGACTAATTAATGTCATGTTTTGGCAGTACCAAACTTCAAACATGGCAGTATTTTCTAAACATGACAGTAATTAGTCCTATTTTGGGAATAAAAATATGACAGTCCTGTTTTGGAATTTTGAAATTGTTTTAGTTCTTTTCGAGAACTTTCCCTATAATCTATTACAGATTTATAATTAACTTTTGCCACCATCTTCTCAACAAACCACTTAAAAATGAGGGCATGTTTGGTTGGGGATAATCTCACATGAAGGTCGAAATTTGATGCAAGGAATGTTAGATGTCCATGCAAGGTTCGCGGAGTCAAGAAAAAAGCCTGTGAGAATATTTCTTAGATACGGCTCAGAGATTCTCATTTATTATGTGTTGTCCTTTAATTTATTTTATTGTCCAGCTAAAGAGAACATTATATTATTTGTGCTACTGATTTGATGTTGGCCGAAAGTTTTTTGGTTTGGGAATGTGTATATAACACATCTATTATCCAAGGTATAATAGGCAGTCATTGACCATTGGATAATTTGGCAGATCTATTACAAGGAGCTCTAAAGTTGTAGTATAAATAAGTCCAATTTCATTACTTCATCTCACAGCAACATATCATATCGATTAAGCAGATTTCAAGTATGAAGAGGTATAATATATGCTGAAAACTCTTGGAATATTATTCAAATAAAATTTGATGTATTTTAGCAGGATTCATCTAAGGTTAACAATCACCAAGACTGGCAAAATAAGGATTTCATGGTACAAGTAATTACTTGCAACATAAACATTTGTAAGACTCCATCTCTATAATTAGTTCTTAACTTCATGTTCTTTTGTATGTTTGCTAACAGTTTGATAAAAAACAGATATTATTGGCAAAATTGTGGGAAAGCATGTCTCACAAACACATAAAATCAATGGCAACAACAAAAGGTAAATCTTAGACTGTTTTAGTGATTAGTTTTATATCACCAAGAGGTTCTAACTAATATATTTTGAGTGTAACAGATCAACAACCATAAGATACTTAAAGGTACAAACATTAAAAATAACCAAAACAAGGCTGATTGGGCATGTTTTGAAAAACAGATATATGTTCAATTATCATGTTATTATTAAAAACAACCTCTTGGTGAGAATTTGACTATGCAATAATAAAACCCTGCAATCCCTATTTTGAACTATTTTATAATTACATTTCATTTACAAATAATACATATTTTGGCACCTTATTCAGGTCCAAGTGCCTACAAATTTACATTTTACAAACCATACTATTATAAGTAAAAAGTATAATCATTTTGTTGGATAAGACTTGCAATATAAAAGATAATAACGTGTTAAGATGTATCTCATTACATAGCACACACATAATACATGTTGAAATAAATCAGTTCTTATCATTCCCGCTCTTATGTATGCTTTCTAACGGTTTTAAAACATATATCATTCGCAAGATTATGAAAATTGTGTTTGTTAAACACACAAGAATCAATGGCAAGAAAGAGAGGTAAATCTAAAAGGTAAAACTAAGACTATATTAGTAATTTGTTTCATATTCCTCAAGACTTCAACATGCAACTGTTTACAGAGACCATCGGTTTAACCGATGACTCTCTGTTGTGGATTTATGGCAGAGAGTATCGATTTACTGAAGGACCTTTCGAGTGAAAGCAAGGATATGGAGACTTGGACATAGACGCGATCAAAGAATAAGGCTGGATGATTGAGGGCGAAGGATTGTAGGTAGATTGAACTTGGCGATTCAATGTAGAAGAAGAGGGGCAGAGAGCATCGTATCAACCGATGTCTCTCCGTATGTTACAGGATTTGTACGGAAAATGGTGGCTTTGGAGATAAAGAGTTTAAATACCATGAGTTAGGGTTTGCCATTTGGGTTGTGGGTTGGGAGATTAAAAATTGGATGTTGGGCTGGGTTTATTCAGATTCAGATGGGCTGAGCAGCCTAAAGTTATACTGTGCAGGTTTTTTACAAGTGTTAAAATGATCCCAAAAATATTTGAAAAATATATCAATTACATTCTTAAAAAATATTTACATTGGAGCAATATTTTATACTATCGTAATTTTTTTGTATTACATTAATAAATTAGACTTATACAATATTGTTTTGAGATATCAGCACAACAATGTGATGTTTTATTTATCAAACTCAAGTACAATAATTTTGGTCAATGTGCATCCAGTAATTGAAGTGAAGTACGGACGCGTTAAAGATATACCCAAAAGCCCAAGGATAGTAAACTCCTCTAAGATTCTTTGATTATAATGTTTACATTTTATGTGCTCTTGGACAATGGTAAACATTAAGGTGTTGTTCTCTTCGTCTTATTCTTATTACTTATTGCTTATTCTTATTTTATTCAGATCAGATCAGATCAGAAAGATTCAGATCAGATCAAATCAGAAAGATTAAGATCAGATCAGAAGCATTAAGATCAGATCAGAAACATTGAGATCAAATTGGAAACATTCTATTATTATTATTATTATTATTATTATTATTATTATTATTATTATTATTATTATTATTATCATCATTATTATCATTATTATTATTAATATCATTATCATTATTATCATTATCATGATCATCATTATTATGATTATTATTATTATTATTATTAATATTATTATTATTATTATTATTATTATTATTATTATTATTATTATTATTATTATTTATTAATATTATTATTATTACTACTATTATTATTATAATTATAACAATAATAATAATAATAATAATAATAATTAATATTATTATAATTATAATAATTATTATTATTTTATACCAGTTTAGAAAGTTAAGATCAGATCAGAATGATTCAGATCAGATCAGATCAGATCAGAAACATTCAGATCAGATCAGACAGATTTAGATCAGATCAGATCAGAAAGATTCAGATCATATCTTAAAAAATTCAGATTAGAAACATTCAGATCAGACGAAGAGAACAGCTTTTAACACCTACATTTTTAAAACTATTTATCATATACCTATACTCTCTTTTCACTCTTTCATACATTATAATTTTATTAATATTTGATGTTGTTGTCCGTTGATTTAAAACCATTTCTTCATTTTTATTAAAATTTTGTCACGTGCATCGCACAGGTGAGAATCCAGTAAGTACCAACAACATTTGTGAAAAAAGTTACACCATTTTATAAAATTTCAAACAATATTCAATAGTTTTGTTAAATAATTCTGGGAGCATTTGAATTTGGACCCCACTTTTTGGGGAATATTGACTTTGTACCCTATTTTTAAAAGGGAAAAATAATTTAAATATCTCAAACTTTAAAAGGGTGTGACATAACTACCTCAAACTTGCACGTGTAATATATTTACCCTAAACTTTGTATAAAAAGTTGTGTTAGCACCATGATCATATAGTTTTCATAAATGTAATTTTATGGTGTTAAGTACATAATTTTAAATACACAAAACATTTATGAGGATGTAATTAAAATTAAATTGTACGGGATGTAATATTATTTATTTCACAAATGAAGTTATAGAATGTTAATTGCCTTCTAACAAGGCTTAAGGTATTTAAAATTATATAGTTATTCCAATAAATTTGTATTTGTAAAAACATATAATCGTGGTGCGAAAATAAGTTTTTATATAAAGTTCGGGGTATATATATTACATATGCAAGTTTGGGGTACACACCTCACACCCCATTAAAGTTTGGCGTATTTAAATTATTTTCCCCTTTTTAAAATCATTTATATGTGCACCCCATCGGTTCAAAAAATGTGAAGGAATGAGATCCAAAGTCCAATGATTATATACAAATGTGAAAGAATGAGGTCCAGTCCAATGATTTTATACATGGGGTGAAAAGTCAAATTTCAATATAAAATCGAAGATATTTCAGAGCTCTATATCCTCAAACTTTCAGTGGGATCGGATGACCACACTGATCCCCTTGGATCCGCCCCTAATTGTAATAAAAACGCTTAATTTAAACCATGTCTAATGACCCTAGGATTGAAGTTAGGACACTAAGAGCAACTACAATATTACTCCCACCGTTCTAAAATTATTTTTATACTTTCATTTTTCGACTGTCTCAAAAGAACATTTATTTTCCTTTTGTCAAAAAATTAATTATTCATATGAATTATGTAGTATTATTTTTCTCTTATCTCTCTGTGCACTCTCAACCATATAATATTCATATTGGATGGTGTTGGGCAGTTATGAGAAAGGGAAAAACTTCGGAGAAAGGGAAAACGGAGAAAAGAAAAATGAAAAAAAACACACAAATTATTACATTTCAAAGACTTGATGTTTTCACTAGCCCCACAAGATCAATTCAAACTTAAACAGATAATAACATCAAAACAGATTTAAACATATCAAAACATACCCGATTAGACTTACACAATAGCAAAATTCACATAATAATATCAGATCTTACAAACCAGACCATTACAATATCTAAGTGAAAGTATTCTTCCTACATGCAAAAAGGAGATAGGGGGGGGGATGCACCCAAGATAAATTGCATACGTAGTCTAAGTCTAAGAGGTATCAACCCGCACGAGTAGCTCAGTTGGTTGAATGGCGGAAATTTGGATCAAGGAACCCTGGTTCAAGTCTCCGCAGCGACCGTGTGGAGGCCACAACCTCTAAAATGGGTTGGACCTCTGACACGCACGAGACATATGGGCTTACTGTTCCTCTGCCGATTAAGTCACCGTGATTTACATCCTCCCATGTACCCTGTCGAGTCGGGACGTGGGGGGCTCCTGGGGTGGGAGATTCCACCTTTTGGATCAAAGTCTAAGAGGTATCAAAACCAACTTTCACATTATTACATGCTAGTATATAATTATGAAAAAGATGGCGTTTGTTCTTTAGAACTTATTCACTTACTCCGTATTAGTTTGATAGGTATCAAAACCAATCTATTAATCTTTTTACATCATTATATGCTACTGTATACGGAGTAATTATGAATGACATATTGACATGGTGTTTGTTCTTTCGAACTTATTCTCTCATTAGTTTGATAGGTATCAAATATTACTGTACTTTCTACTTTATAATTATGAATAAGAAGTTCGTTCTTTGCAATGTTAACGAGCTTGAGGAGTTGAGGCCTTGAGCCCTAGCCGCCCTCCATGAATTGTGTTTCAGTACAATAACGTGTTTCAGTACAGTAGGCCGTTCTTCTAAATGACATCTAGCTTTTAATTATGGAAGGACCTGAGTCGGTCCTGGTTCTGGGCCGACACTGTCCGGTCCCTCCTATTTTTTCCCGGAGACCGGGCCCGACCCATATAAATCCGGTTTTGGGCCAATTTCGGGCCGAGACTGCCCAGTCCCTCCATTTTTGATCAATTACAAGGCTAAAAAAAATTAAATTTTAACCGGTCGGGACCGGGAGTCCAGGACCGACGGTGTGGTCCCCAAAACTAAGAACCAAGACCGGATACCCTATACACCCAGTCGGGTACCCGGCCCTTACCCGAAGCAGGACAAACGGCCCTGGTCCGGTCCCGTGCAGTGCCGAACCGGGTCCACCCCTACTTTTAGGATGTTTTTACTTGGATTGTAATTTGTTGGTCTAGTCTGGTCTGTTTAAGTTTGACCTGGTCTAGTCTGATCTGTTTAAGTCCGATCTGGTCTGAAATGGTCTGGTAAACGTCTGGTCTTTGTGTGTTTTATAACTACAGAAGTCAAGTTTGATCTGGTCTGATCTGTTTAAATCTGGTGTGATCTGTTTAAGTCTGGTCTGATCTGGGACTGAAAACGGTCCATGTAGGTAAAAACATCCTTGAACATGCAGTGAAACAGAGACGTTAATTTCTTATTCAACCTCAATTGTAGACACCCATGTCGAGAGAACTCTTTTCACCAAATTAGATAATACGAGAAACATACCCATTTCTCTTTCCACCATTTCAAAATACTCCGTATCAAAATAGAAATCTCATAAACAGGAATCATTAATCGAGCTTTGTTACGGTGTACTAGTAGCACGTGTAGTTTTTTCTATAAGATGTTTTTGTGATACTTCTAAAGAAACTTTCCTTGGAAGATGATTAACAAATGTCTCCTTTTTGTTAAACAGATGTACTATTATAAATTGCTTGAAATTCATTATACAACTTATGAAGAAAATTACTAACGTAAGCAAAGTGAGCATTTACTTTGTCTGTTATCATCATATCGAGGATAATGAACACAGACAATGATATTAGTATCTTAAAAACATTTCATAACAAGTGTTTGTGAGGGTCAAGAATAAGACCAATAATAAAACTAGAAGTCTAGAAGTAATAAGCAAATATTATACGGAGTAGTAACCATTTCATTCAAGGACTGAAAAAATCAAGGTAAACTTACTTCCTAGTTCCTAAATCAATTTAATCACTGTTTGAACCAATACCATTGCTTGCACTGCTACAAAAACAATATCACATCGTCGAAGGAGTATGCAAATGGGGTCATCCCTCTTAACCCGTAAATTCACATTAGAAGATTCCTTGGGAAGAAACAGATTTAAAATGTGTTAACAAATTTTCTAACTTTAATGTAGTCCAGCACTGCACCATTGGGAAACAAAAGTTTGAGTAGCACTTTTAAATTCATAATAGAGACATATAGTACTGAACGGATTTATAAGATTGTTATGAAACTTATGTAAAATTATTAAAAATCCTAAAAACACCTGGTTGCACAACACTATTAACATTTTAATTATTAAACTCCTTCAATTCAGATACACATATAATTAGGATTGGTTTCTTAAACTTCAGTTCCGGTTCTATAGTCTAGTGTACTTTAACATATTCAGGAAAAAAAAAATCAAGTATATTTTCAAATGCAATTCAGATGTACAATAAAACAGACTACTTTTACTTCACCTATACATTTCCTGCCTCTATGTGTATGCAGGTAGGAAAAAGATTAATGCATTCGAAATAGGCTTCAATTTGTGTGGTCCAGTAATATCAAAATTACAACAAGACTAAGTCATAACATTCCTAACCTTCAGTCAGTGCCATCATTTGATTCAAATTCGAGAACTACTAGGAATCCTTACAGGCATGCCACCAGGAAGTGCATTCATTCGCCTTTTTTTGTAGTAAATAGTTGAACCACTTATTATCAGCAAAACCAACATTATTTCCTGCAAAAAACAAAATAAATATGATCAGAATGAAATACATATACATAATAATGCGACTTTCATGGGGGTGTCTGACTGGAAGAGGTGCATTAAACAGAGTTACAATTTAAGAAGAAAAAACAAATCATGGGTGAAAAAACATTGCAACGATGATACATGATGGATGACAAAAATATATTGGTTGTCACTCCATCTGTTCTTAGATAGCTATTTATTTATTATAATCACTTTGTTCGCAAATTTCTGTTCATTAAGATAAACTTAAAACATAACATAGTAAAATGATTAAGTTGTCATCATTTATTTAACTTTTGTTTGTCACTTCTAATGCTAAAAAATTACTGGAGAATTGTTCTAAATTTTGAACACATTTAATGATCACCTTAAACTCACAACTTCCTAATGAACCGTTATTTTAAAATGGAGGGAGTAACTAACAGTTATATATCCGATGTTACTGGGCTACTAACTAATCAAAAGCACTGAACCAAGCAACTAAATGCATCATTACTATAGGAATTGTGCACACTACGCAGGCAGTAGTTAAATGGGAACGTAAGGTAATCCACACAAAGGGTGTAATAGAAGAAGATAATAGGGACTATGAGTATTAGAGAACCTTTATCTCTTTTGAGGAACAAAGGTACACACTGCAGGCCTTAGAGTAAACCCTATTTTACACTACTTCCATCACTATTTATTTTTTTATCAATTTACTATACTAATGATAGAGTATAAACCCTTAGAGAGAAGTGAAAGCTAGAGAGAGAAGTGCAATGTTATTAATGAATTTGTGAACCCTTTACATGGCTCCCAAGGGGAGAGTATTTATAGGGAAAAGTGGGCTGGGCTCACAAGCCTTGGGCTTGGGAGGCCCATTACAATATAAGGACTCTATTGGGCTGCTTACATGAGGAGTCTAGTTGTGAGAGCTCTTTGTGGCCGAAGGAGCCCGGGCCGACGGAGACCCAGCCGAGGGAGCACCCCGGTTCTCCTGGCCTCCGGACCGTATTCTGAGTTGATGTCTATCCGACTGATGGAGGGCCATCTGGTCGAGGGAGGCACGGCCGAGGAAGGCACGGCCGAGGAAGGCACGGTCTCCTTCGTCCATCGGTCGATGAAAGACCGGAGTGGTTCATCGTGTTGCTGTTTGACGAAGAGGAGATGGGAGAAATGTTTCTTCACGCGCTTCCTCCCGGCGAAGTGGGTGAGGAAGCGTTGGGCGAGATCTTGCCATGAGTCCACGCTTCCCTCGGGTAGCGCGTTGAACCACTCGTACGCTGGTCCCTCGAGAGGGGAAAGGAACCAACGGCGGAGGTACTCATCAGACGCGTTCACCATCAGCATGTTGTTCTGATAGCGGCTGAAGTGGTCTTGGGGGTTGGTGCGGCCGTCATAAGGCTTGATGGCATTCCCCTGGTACTTCTCGGGAATTGGGGCCGAGAGCACCCTCGTGGTGAAGGGAGTTTTTGTTCTAACTTGGATGATGGGATCACCACGTCTGTCGCCCAGCTCCCGCTCCAGGGCCTAACCTTGTGCAAGAGGTCATTGAAACCGGGGTCCCTGGACGCCGCTGTCGTACGTGCCTCGGCCATTTGCTTTGCTTCCATCTGAGCGAGCCTCCTTTCAAGTTGGGCGATGACCTCATCCCGGGGGTCCTTGGAGGCCGTGGCGGCGCCTTGGATTTGGTTGCGGGCTGCGCGAGCCGCATTGATCTGGTGTCGTGCGTCACCCTCATGTAGTTTGCCCTTGTCTTTGTCAAGGCGGGGCCGATCCGCTGTTCGGGATACGGACCCCAAGCTTTCCCTTGGCGAGACAGGCTCACGTCCACCAATCCATCCCGCTAGCCTCTCCGATGCTGGCCGACGATGCGCGTCCCCTAGCCTATTGAAGGCCGAGGCTCTACGCACTGGGGTCGGTCCAGCTCGACGAGGGGAAGCAAGATCGGAGTGGGATGTCGTGTCCTGGGCCACGACCCCCTCCTCATTGCCAACGTTCATGACCAACGGGTGAGGAGGAGGAGGCGGTGGAGTAGCGTTCTTCCCGTCCTTGGAATGAGCGCGCTAAGGACGGTGGGGTTCTGAGCCAGCCTGGCTATGATGGTCGATAGAGCGGCTTGAAGCTGAGGGTCAACAGTGGGAGTAGCCTGTTGTCCTGACGCACGGTCACTTTTCTCCGTGCGCTTCTTCTATAGGCTGATACGGGCGTCTTGAGCGTTGTCTTTAAGCTGATTGCGGAGGTCTGTCGTGGGGTCGATAGCCTCCTAGAAGACCTCCTTGTCTGTGACCTTATCGGCCGTGGCATCGTCGGAGCGTTCACGAGCCTCCTGAGGTTCAGGGATCGCCTTGTTGATGAGGTTACGGTTTGACTTTGTTTTTCCCATAGTCAGTTAGCTGTGCTTGGTAGCGACGAAGGATGCTAACTTGATTGTTCTAGCTCTCAACGAGAGCACTAAATGATAGAGTATAAACCCTTAGAGAGAAGTGAGAGCTAGAGAGAGAAGTGCAATGTTATTAATGAATTTGTGAACCCTTTACATGGCTCCCAAGGGTAGTATTTATAGGGAAAAGTGGGTTGGGCTCCCAAATCTTGGGCTTGGGAGGCCCATTACAATATAAGTCCTCTATTGGCCTGATTACATGAGGAGTCTAGTTGTGAGAGCTCTCTGTGGCCGACGAACGTCTGGCCGAAGGAGCCCTGGCCGACGGAGACCCGGCCGAGGGAGGCACCCCGATTCCCCTGGCCTCTGGACCGTATTCTGAGTTGATGTCTATCCAGCCGATGGAGGGCCATCTGGTCGAGGGAGGCACGACCGAGGAAGGCACCGCCGAGGAAGGCACGGCCGAGGGAGGCACGGTCGAGGGAGGACAAGTCTTCTCCTTGGCTTCCGGAGCGTATTCTAGATTGACCCTTCTTTGGCCGATGGGGTGCCATCTGGCCGACGGAGGACCTACCGGATGACAGTTGTGCTCCTCTTAGTCTTTTGAGTATGTGGGTCATGTGGTCTAGACCCATATACTCCATCAACTACCATTACATTTTATTTATTTGCATTGTGAACAGTAGTTGTAGGGTGTCAAAACTGTAGATTCTGCAGTACTATTTACCCTCGTAAAACGGTATTTCCGGAAGTTAAAGAAAATTGATTTTCTTAAAATCCGTGAAAGTCGTATTAGGAAGTTAAATAGGAACTGAGGGTAGTTTACTTGACAATGGCAATTGGAAAAAAAAAATCCCATTCAATGATACTGATATTATGATAACAGTGTTCAGTGATGGAAACTGCTGTTGAATCTATACTCTATTACTCCTATAATTCTATAAGTAACTTGATCTCTCTTGACGAATGAAGCATAATTTTATATATAAAAAAGACAGAACAATCTAAAACCATTCCCAGTGGTGACCCAAATTGTTTATAATATCTACAGCTGCATGGGATACATGGGTCATATCATTGGTTGATGGTAAAGGTACACACAAACACATTTCAGTACGTCCCTGGAAATAAACACTTTTTCAATAGGTGCGGAAAAGGTATCTACTATCTACTTACCTCAAAACCAATTACTGACAACCTCTCTTCACTAACTGTAGTTATACAGCTTCTGTAAGTTATGTAAGCCTGCAACCCACTCTCAGAAGTGGATGAATCCCCTAACAAACTTCTTTGCCTTATTGGATAAGTATGAGCATTTGCATTCTCTAAATCAGACCGATTGTGAATTTTCTTACTCTTTCCTTCCTCCAGACGGTCTCTAGTTTCTTCACATTTGAACGGAATTCGATACCCAGTTTCACTGCAGCGGTATTTTGTATCACTCTATAGAAAAGAAAAGAGTATCAAAGTTGGTAGTACTTAGTAGTTAGTGCTAAGTTTCAAAGAAGTTTGTAATTACAAATGTGAAGGATTTAAATTTCCCTGTCCAAAAAAACATATGATAATTTGATAAATCATTTGTAGCGAACTCGGTTCGCGGAATGTCCATCCACTAGAGTGAAGAAATGATATTGTGTGCACATAATGGACTGGCAGGCATTAAGTTTTATTTAACAGAAGTTAATTACTACGTAGTACATGAAATTTTATAAGCCTAATCTGCTGCACACTCCAAATTTCCACAACCACCTACTACCATATACGGAGTAGTATATACTACCTTTTTTTCTTATACAGATTTACAGTTTCCAGGGTCAATCCGAGTTGGACACATACCACTAGACCAGTCAGATGACCACTGTTCAAATAAGCATTTAAGCTCACTAATTTTATCGATTAGCAGAAGAAAAGATATGTTCAATAATGAAATCGTCGCAACGATTGATCAAACTCACCCGTACATGAAATTCAACTATTAAATTATAACTACCGTTATGGAAAGTAGAAAACCAAGAGGGAAATAAGAGAGAAACCTTTTCGGAGTAGGCACAAGGAACGCAGGGACCAGAAGGAAAGCATTCAAAGCTGACGTTAACTCCATTAGGCGTCTCCTTGAAGCTCAGCATAACTCGACGGGCAATTTCTTCTCCACCCGAGCTTTCCTCAAGAGAGGGAGCAGAAAATACGAAGAGAAAATTAAAAAATAAAAGAATCGCGGGCGAGAAGGACGAGTTCATTCGCCGGGTGAACATCTTACTGCGACTCTTCCGTCTGCCGGTAACGGGGCTGGCAAATGGATTTCTCAGATCTCAGTACGCTGTAAATGAATGTGTAGAATTGTAGATGCGTCCACAATATTTTTATGTATTTCAAAAGGGATCAGGGATTATTGTCTCTATAATCCAAAACTTGTGGATGTTTTTAGTAAATAACATGTTTTCAGTTTATTGACCCTTATCAATTTCAAATGTTTAACAAAATTATACGAGTAAAATTTGTGTTGGGTTAATGGCGGGGCCGGCCCATCCACCCTTAAAGATCACCTATGAGTGTCCTACTAAAGGTCCAAGAAGAAGGCCAAGCACCAAGGGCCAGGGGATGAACGTAGTCCATCACCAGCCAGTCCCAAGGCCGCCGGGCCAGGAGACGTACGTGTTGCACTGCCAGGAGGCACCCAGACCCAGAGTCCCTACGAGGTACTTGGGGACGGACGTTCCCACCTCTTAGTAGGAAACCAAGGGCGGCTCAAGAATAGGTCTGGAATAGTAGCCTCTCAATAGATCAAGTACATGGAGACGAACGTCCCCTCTTCCCTTGATAGGGAATCGAGATCCCAACAGTGGACAGCGGCCAGGCCCTTGGGGACGAACGTCCCCACCCAATGGCGGGAAACCAAGATTCTGGCGGGAAGCACATTTAATGTAGAAGATTTGGTGGTTGGGATCATGTCGCCCACAGCCTGCCACATCGACATGTCCAACTACCCATTGGCGGTATAAATAGTAGCATTTATTTCACTATAAAGGGTTCGCAATTTAGCACTCTAGCACTTTATCGATAATAGCAGTTCGTAGCTTAGCACAGTACGTTCGGCCCTTCGGCTTGTAACAGTTTGAGTTAGTAAACACAGGTGTTTGACATATTCCTTGCTTATTTCTCCATCTTACTTATTCACCACCCGTTCGAAACCCCCAGGTTACATGTTGGGTCTGCGAGTTAAGGGAATAAACCTCAACACTGGCACCGTCTGTGGGAAAACTGATCAAAAAGTTCTTCCAAAACCTAGCTCTACACTAAAAAATTACCCCCAAAAACAACTAAAAATTAAGTAGGATGGCAGCAAGTAACGCAGGAAACTCTCGAGACCTCTCTTCACGACTGACCCATAGCAGGAGGAGCTGTAACCAGATCGCAGGGGCCCGTGGGGACTTCGGGGTGCTCACTGATTTGATTCCCCAGAAAGTTCGATGGGACCCAAATGCCTTGAGAGAAATAGCAGACACCATCCGCCGTCTGGCGGATCAACGGGAGGCGAAGCGCGTGCATTCCGCAAACACAGAGCGGGCACCATTCTCCCCTCTTCGTTCCATGCAGACGCTTAATGAGCACACTGGCGAGAATACTTGTTCGTGCCATTCGGTCCATACAAGGATCACTAGGGGTGCCCATTCTCTGGATATGGGGGGGCACCGGAGGAACCTGAGCCCTTCAGGGAAACACAACGCCATACGGTCCAGGACCGCACGCCAGTTATGCCCCGTAACGGGCGGGCAGTCAGGGAACGCACCCCTGTGATGGAGGGCATGAGGCAGGAGGCCCGTGTCATCCATGGCCAGCACAACTTCGGGATCATGCCAGGAGGAAATGCTCTGGCAATGGCAAACCCTGCACCTGTTGTCCCCAATCCCCGGGATGCTATGCTCATGGAGATGCAGAGCTGGGGTTGCCTTGTCTTCCCCGTTCTCTACTAGAATAATGGCAGTAGAGATTCCAAGGGACGTCCGGCCCCCACGGGCCCTGATGTACAACGGGGTCGGGGACCCCAAGGCTCATTTACTTTCCTTCCAGGGAACGCTTTCTATACTGGGAGCCTCCGACGAGGCCATCTGCAGGCTGTTCTTCAGCACTCTAAAAGCACCAGCACAGGAGTGGTTCGGGCAGCTCACGCCCGGATCCATTGATAAGTTTGAACAACTTTCCCAACAATTCATGGCGCAGTTCGCATCAATCTCCACACCAAAGTAGCATTTCAGCTGGCTGACGAACGTCCGCCAAAACAAGGGGGAAACTTTGTCCACCTTTCTCATCAGGTTGAGGGACGAAACCCTAAAAGTGGAAGACCTTCCGGAATGTACTGGCATCACCCTCTTCACCAACGCACTGGAAACCGGGGACCTCTATCTAGATCTGAAGAGGAACCCCGGAAATAACTATGCTGGGGTACTTGCCCGGGCATAGAAATTCGTCGTGATCGAGGAAGAAAATTGCGTAGCGGGATGGGGTGGTAACCCCCGCGGCACATAAGATATAGGACCGATTGGGTCCCGGGCCGGTGGAGTCTCCGGTGCCCAAGAAGAAGGAGACGATCGGCAGTTACGTCCCTTGGGCCACACAGGAAGTCCCTGGGGATGGCCATCGTGTGGACGACGGCCACGCTCCCTTGGCTTACCCCATCAGTCAGATTTTTGGGGCTATCAAAGATAAAGGACTGGTCAAGGAGCTGGTTCCCACCAAGGGGCAGACAATGGGCCGAAACATGGAGGCCTACTGTGAATATCATCGCAAGCCGGGGAACTATACCGATGACTGCAAGAGTTTGAAGTACGCCATCCAGAAGCTCATCGAGAGCGGATACCTGGGGGAGTTCACTGCGGGAGGAGCGTCCCAGGCTCCTTCACAGCAACACAGGAGGCCCTACAGCTGACGCCGGGACAATCGGAGAGAGGCTGGGGTTAAGGACAAGGACTTCTGTCACAATGATAAGCGACCGGAAGCTTCATTGGGACCGGTCGTGTTGGGAATATTTTATGGTGTCCAATCTAATTAAATATCTTTGTATTTGTGTAGTTATTAATTAAACGTGTAATACGGGCCACAAATGTGTATCAGCCTATTAGCTTCTTTGTAACCCGTAAGTTAGCCAACTTCTCCTATAAAAGGAGGCTAACTTACGGAAACCCTAACGATCGAGACTTTAGAGAATAGAGGCGCAGAGATAGAGAGAGTAGGGTTTGCCGCTGCTCTCCTTCTACAGGGAGAGCAGCGGCCAGTTTACACGGTATACCAAAGGTGTTGTTAATCTTGATATCTTTCTATCTGCTTCTTTATACCTGCTATGATTGTTTGATTGTTAAGTTTTGGGACAATCATTTGGTATCAGAGCCGAGGCGTGAAATAGGTTGAATCTATCTGCAATCTTTCATATCTAACGAAGAACTGCTCTGCTTTTTCTTCTTTTTCTTTGATGTAGAGATTTGCTCCTGTAATATTGTTTGTGAACGAAATTTTATAAAAATTATACTGTTGGAATCGCCTTTCAAAACCGATTCTACAGCATATCTCTGTTTTCGATTTCTGCAATTTTTTCAATTTCGAAGATCTCAACATTTGAGATCTCGAGATTCTTGTTTTTCACTACTGCAAAAATGATTTTGACTTGAAACTCATACAAGAGAATCTCGACCTTCAGGGCTATTCAGAACAGTTTTCAGATTTTCAAAATTCGAAGTTTTCATTTTGCAGGATCTCGACATTTAGGGCCTCGAATTCCTAATCTCGAGTTTTGAAATTTCGAGTTTGGATATCTCGAGTTTTGAAATTTCGAGTTTTGAAATCTCGAGTTTAAAAATCTCGAATTTTGAAATTTCGAGTTTTGAAATTTGGAGTTTTGAAACTTCGAGGTTTGGAATTTCGAGTTTTGGGATTTCGACATTTAGGATCTCGATGTTTAGGATCTCGACATTCTGAAGATTTCGAAATTTTAAAATTTTTTATGTTTTGAATGTTTCAAAGTTTGCAGTTTCTTGAAACTCAGAATTTTTCGAAACTTGACATTCTTCGCAGTTCTTCGAAGCTTTACATTATAGGATTTCTGAATGAATCTCTGCTTATCAAAGTTTTTAAAAGTTTTCAATGTTCTGATGTTTTTCAAACAGCAAGTTTTCGATTTTCTGAGGTTTTCGAAACTCCAAAGTTTTAGATGTTCCAAACATTTTGAAATTCTGAAGATTTCGATATTCTGAGGTTTGTTTTGCAGGTGGATTTCGCCATTATTCTTCGAGGCAAACTCGAGATTAAGATCTCGAGGTTTAAACTTCGAGATTACAATCTCGAGGTTTAAAACTCGAGATTGTAATCTCGAGATTACGATTTCAAGGTATTGCCTTAGAATTTTCCTTAATCCCACCTATTTTCGATATTCAACATTGAGAACCTCAACTTCGAAGATATTCCTCAAAAACTCAAAATATTCAAGATTTTCTGCGACACCGCACTGTTTTGGCCATAACTTTTGACTCGGTGATCCGATTTAAGCAAACTTTTTTGTTGGAAAGCTAAAGAAAAGATCTACATTTATTCTGGGGCTATGCCCCAGAATCCATTCTCACACACCCTCACGCGCAGTCCTTGAGGGTCAAAACGTTAGTTTTCCGACAAACTTTGTAAATCACCGATGTCAATGTCAAAACTTAGGCAAATCTGTTCAAATTCTTCCAAAGTCAAACCTAAGGTCTAATATGCACTGTAGAGGTCCGAAAATCGTAGATAATTCAATCAAACTCGCGTCAACAGTCATCTTACAACAATCAACAATCAACCACTGAAGCCTCTCATAACTCATCAACATTGTGTGATCCTCAAACATGCTGAAATTCCAAATGATGAGCTTAGGGAAACCTCATGTGTGGTACCTGTTCAGATTGCTCCACACACATGGAGGGTATGACGAGCTGTGAGCAATCAATCCTTGCACATTCTGAGGGGGAGTTTCAGTTTTCTCCTCCCGGCGCCTTACATCGACAAAGCAAGGAATCTCTCAACGGATGCAACATTGTAGGGGGAGTGTTCAATGTTATCCTCCCCGGTGCCTAACAAGGAAAAAGCATACCGAGTGCTCCAGTTGAGGGAGAGTAAAGAGAGAAAATCATTGAGAGAACATGTTCCTATAGCTTAGTAAACCCAACTAAGCCTACCCAGGGTACAAAGCCGAGGGTAAGTGAGTGAGTGAGTAATCATTATGAGAGTTAGGAAGTAGAAGGCTCAAGTGAGAAGGAAAACAATAATCAATGATGAGTGTGCTACCTCAACTGCCTGCTATGTATTGAATATTTACTCCTAGCCACTCAAATACTCTGGACAATTCCCAAATAGGTTC